GTGTGTGTGGAGACACGAGGGTGCACGGGTGTCACAGCGAGCGTGTGTGTGGAGACACGAGGGTGCATGGGTGTCACAGCGAGCGTGTGTGTGGCACGAGGGTGCACGGGTGTCACAGTGAGTGTGTGTGTGGAGACACGAGGGTGCACGGGTGTCACAGTGAGTGTGTGTGTGACACGAGGGTGCACGGGTGTCACAGTGAGTGTGTGTGTGACACGAGGGTGCACGTGTGTCACAGCGAGCGTGTGGAGACACGAGGGTGCATGGGGGTCACAGCGAGCGTGCGTGTGGAGACACGAGGGTGCACGGGTGTCACAGTGAGCGTGTGTGTGTGACACGAGGGTGCACGGGTGTCACAGCGAGCGTGTGTGTGTGGAGACACGAGGGTGCACGGGTGTCACAGTGAGCGTGTGTGTGACACGAGGGTGCACGGTGTCACAGCGAGCGAGCGTGTGTGTGTGTGTGTGTGTGTGTGTGTGTGTGTGTGTGGCCAGAGGACGACGCTCCGCTTGGCTCTCTCCTTCCGTCTGTCTGTGGGTTCCAGAGACTGAAGCTGGGTGACCAGGTCGTTACACACTAAGCTATCTGCCAGCCCATTATTCAGGTTTGTCTACGTATGTGCATATATACACGTGTGTGCGTGTGTGCGTGTGTGTGTTACAAGTTCATCACGTGCATGCTTGTGTATTCACCACCATCATGATAGGAGCAGGGAGGGTGTATGGCTGAGCAGTAAAACATCTGCCTTGAGTGAGCCCCTGGTTTCACCCCTGTCCTGGCCACGGTCAGTCACATCTATGTCTGTAAGTATTCCATTTAGGATGTTTGTGTGTGTCTCACTCCACTCCACAGGAAGACTGGCTTTTCTCACTCAGCATTATCTCCCTTGAGTCTCCACGGCTGGCTCTCCCTCCAGCCTGCCCCATCTCAACAGCTCGCTGAGGATTATGCCACAGCGCGGACACTCCACGGGTTTGTTTACCTGGACACCTGGGCTGTTTCCAGACTTGGCAAGAAGTAGAGGTGGTTTTTTTTTTTTTTTTTTTTTTTTTTTTTGTGTGTGTGTGTGTGTGTGTGTGTGTGTGTGTGTGTGTGTGTGTGTGTGAACAATGGTAGGCAGATTTCTGTGTGAACACAAGTCTTACTTCTCTGGGCTAAGTGCCCAAGGGTGCAACGGGCTGGGTCATACGACAGCTGTGTTTAGTTTTTATGAAACTGTCCGTGTGTTTTCTGGATGGACCTAACTTTCCGTCCCCCCAGCACCGTCTGAGGGACCCCACTCCCCACACTCTTCACTGCGGACTCTGTTTCACTTCCTCAGCAAAGGTCTTCTGTGGGGTTACTGTGCATCAGGTACTATCCCAAAGCTGGGGATGTAGCAAGGACACAGAATGTGACTGAGCTGTAGTGGCATCCAGGAGGATTAGGAGGCCAGCCTCTGCTACCCGATGAGAGCCACCTCAGCACACAGAAGACAGGACTTAGCGGCCGACTGGCAGAGCAGGCACTACACCACCGCTGAGCGGTTGTGGTGAGGTGGTGAGGGCCGGAAGGAAACAGACAGACAGACGGACGGCATAATAAAGAGAGGCTGAGCACTCTGGTTACAGAGCCAGGCAGGCTGGTCCCAATCCTGACTCCGTTTACATCTATAGTGCATGCATGGCTCAGGCAGGGGGCCTGACTTACCTGCATCTCAACTCCCCATCTGTAAAACCAGATCGTAAGGCTGTCTCAATAGCAGTAAAAAGAGGGCTGGGGTGCGGCTCAGCAGAAGAGCGCTTGTCTAGAATCACTAGTGAGGGGCTGGGGTGTGGCTCAGTGGTAGAGCCCCTGCCTAGAATCCTCCAGTGAGGGGCTGGGGTGTGGCTCAGTGGTGGAGCCCCTGCCTAGAATCCCCCAGTGAGGGGCTGGGGTGTGGCTCAGTGGTCGAGCCCCTGCCTAGAATCCCCCAGTGAGGGGCTGGGGTGCGGCTCAGCAGAAGAGCGCGTGCTCAGGTCCAATGCCAAGTACCATGATAATATGAAAACCACCTTCACCGGTGCCGGGGACCAAGTGGTGGTCATGGCATACTGGCAGCAAAGACAGGCCTGATGGAGACCTCCTGTATACAGTCTCTGCCAGCATCTCGGTCACGAAGGCAGTGTTACTAACAAGTCACATAGCTGTGAGGGCCTCCAAGACGTATACAGCAGCCCTCATGTTCTGAAGGGACACCCGGTCTGCTGAGGACTGACTGCTGGAGGCCGGGCAGAGGAAGGGAAGCGACACTGCTCACTTACCCAGCAGTAGTGGCTACGGGGCAAACTGAGGGAGCTGGGACTTTCCACACCCTGGGGATCTGACGCCATTCCCAGGTGGGCTGAAGAGTAACACAGCACCTGCCCCACCTCTCTGGGCCCACAAAGAAACCACATTCGGGAGTAAAGGGGATGTGGGAACCCCTGCTGGCCTGCCTACCTCTCCACAAGCCTGGCCCAGAAGAGGGAACTAAGGGAGGCACTTGGTCTACAGCCTATGAAGGGAACAGGGAGAAGGAGCAGGCAGCTCAGGGCCTGCAGAGAATGAGGGCACCTACATGGAGAGGGGAGGGGCCTTGGCTCTGAGAGGGCAGATTCATGAGTCATGGCAGCCCAAGACTTTTCCGAGGAAAGTCAGAGCTGCAGTGACCTGCTTTGTGGGCCTCCCATGGCCTAGAGTGATCGACAAGCTGCTGCTTTCCTAGGAGCAAATCTAGAACCAGGGCACCCTCTCCTCTGCAGGAAAGGACTTTCAATCCTGCAGTGGGCAGCCGGGTGGAGGGGAGGGTGGAGCCTCTGACCAGGAGTCTGGTTTTCCTGGTGGAGGAGGGTACCTGGATGGCAAAGTCTTAGATGGCTGCTTCTTTCCTTGCAGCCCCACCATGCGACTATAGTCCCAGACCATGGAAGGTGAAGCAAGAGGTCAGCCTGGACTACACAGCAGGACTCTATCTCAAAGAAAACAAACCTAACCAAAAATCCGTCCACAACAGCCAGGGCAATGGGAAGACACAGGGCCCACTCTGGTCAGCCCTGTCGTCTTCCCTCACAATGCTGAAGTGATGTCAGCTTCTCAGATACACCCAGCACCTTCCTACCTCAGGCCTCTGTTTTGGTTTATCTAGAGAAGAGTTCAAGTGCAATGCCCCACAAATTATGCAGCTGAGTTTCCCACATTTGGGGAAACTGCAGGAGCCAGCACACCTGGAGTGCACTGGATGAGCCTTGCTCTGAAAAAACCACCTTGGTGATCATGGTATCTCTCCTGCCAGGTAAGTAATGGAGATATTCTGTCTCCCACAAACAACCAGCACCCTAGTCTGCCACTGCATGGTTCCTATCTACTTTCAAGTTGAAGATTGATGGTTGCTGCTTCAGAAAAGCCTCCTGAGACCATCTTGTCCCCACCCCATTCTAGAAGAGGACTCCCTCTTTCTGTTCTCTCTCTAGATGTCCATATTCCATCTTTCTGGTTAATTAGCCCAGCTAAGGCACATGGCTATCTGCAAGACTGCTTACCCAGATGGTGGGGGTTATGAGGTCAGACTCTTGGAAATGCAGCATTACTCTTTTTGTTTGCTTGTGTTTTGAGACAGGGTTTCTCTGTATAACAGCTCTGGCTGTCCTGGAACTTGCTCTCTGGACCAGGCTGGCCTCAAATTCACAGAGATCCACCTGCTTCTGCCTCCCAAGTGCAGGGTTTAAAGGTGTGCACCACCACTGCCTGATCCCAGTTTATAAATGGGGAAGACATGTCAGGCCTGTCCACAGCACCAGATACTCAGGAGTTTAATCTGGGGAGCACCCAGACAGCCTGGCAACATTTCCAATGACCCTGCTTCCTAACACCTGCTGGCAACAGGTGATCAGGTAAACAAAACTCATGGACATTTCCCTAGAATGCTGAACTCCCAACCTGAGAGTCGTTTAAAATGTTTATGTTGTATGGTTACTGTGTATTATACATGGCTTAAGCATTTGAGGGACACAATAAATGTGAAGGGCCACACATCCACCT